GGTCCCCCCCCCCCCCAACATCCTGCTCAGTCAATCACCTGGAGCCCAGGGTAATCAATGCTGGCAGGAATATTCCGCATCTCTTTTTCTGATGTGTTTCGAATTCTGTCCATCTAAGGGACGCCGGACCCATTTTCCAGCAGGTGTTGCTCCCCACCAATAGATGAAACCTCCCCCCAGATGTTAGCGATGTCTACTCTTATCAGCACCACTAGCACTGACAGGGGCGTGACAAAAAAAAAAAAAAAAAGTTACAAAACATAGGGTCCAATTAAAAGTCCTAACAGCACCAAGTGCCACCAACAAGCGGCCTGAGAAAACAATTGAAGAAAATCTGCTGGTTACTTGCGCGCTAGTGCAACATGGATGGAAGGTGCTCGCTGGAGAAGAAGTGAGTGTCCGGCGGGGTAGAAGACGTCTCGGTACCATACCTCAGGTGAGAAAGAAGGCGGCCATAGCCATGGAGGTCAAGAGTGGAACAATGCAGGTATATTCATACTTGCGCGATAGTGCAATGTGGATGGAAGGTGTTTTCTAAAAAAAGACGATATATAAGGGACGCTGGACCCAGTTTCCAGCAGGTGCAGCTCCCCACCAATAGAATGGAGCCAACAGGTGGTCTGCTAGCAGAACCAGCTGGGTTTAAATTAAAAAAAAAAAAAAAAAAAAAGGATGGAAGGTGTTCGCTGGAGAAGAAGTGAGTGTCCGGCGGGGTAGAAGATGTCTCGTTACCATACCTCAGGTGAGAAAGAAGGCGGCCATAGCCCTGGAGGTTAAGGGCGGAACAATGCAGGTATATTCAGGAGGAAGAGTGCAATCCAAGAGAGAGAGAGAGAGAGAGAGAGAGAGAGAGAGAGAGAGAGAGAGAGAGAGAGAGAGAGAGAGAGAGAGAGAGCCCGAAGTATTGACAGGATTTGTTGATTCTGGACTCTGGCGGTAGCGGCCACAACAGCGTGTATTCAATTTCATTTTCATATGATAATAAAAACATCGGTGGTGATAGATTACCCCCAGTGTTCATTCAAGCCCCCACAGCCTCCTATAGCTCGCTGCGCGTCGGCTCGCCCCCCCTGCTAGGGCTTGGTAGGGTCTATTCCCTCCCATCCACTGCCCGGGATTGGGAGGAAGATGCGGTGCTTAGACACGGGAGGCGGTCGGTGTCAACCCATGACTATTAGGGACCCCAGCTAGCGTGCAGTGATAGGGTGCAACAATCACTCCTCCAAACTGGACTAGAGTGCAACAATCACTCCTTGAAACTGGACTCAAAGAGTGACGTCTGAAGTTAAAAATATTACTTAGATTTCATTAAAAAGATGTTTTTTTTTTTTTTTTTTTTCGGTGGTGCATCCTTCTCAATGCATGCTGATCTGCGGTTCAGTTGTCCAGCATGTTTGGAGTTGTGTATCGGGTGTGAGCATGTTTGGAGAAAGCTTTCCTTTGGCAATAACTTATATTAATTAAAACATTCCGGCAGCTGGTCGGTGGGAACGAGAACTATGGGATAAGTTTCGTGTGTATTTTTCCAACCATCCTGATTTACGTTGTATATTAACAGATTATGGTTGACCCTCAGTTACGAAAAGAGTTTCCCTTAAACCACCAGTTGTTTTTTTGAAGTCGCGGCCGTTAACGCGCCGCGACTTTCGGCGGGCGAACGAGCGTCCGGTCGCTGACATTCCAAAAGAAATAAGAAACGAAAAGAGAACAAACAGAAAAAAAATGGCTCGGCCAGGGTCGGGCGACCGGTAGCCGCAGGTGTGGGCCTTAACAACCGGAGGGTACTGGTGGTTTCAGTGGATATGTGGCAGTACGATACGTTGATTCAGAGAAATGTGTGATTGCTGAGCCTATTGAAATGTCTCAAGATTTTCGTTATTAAACAAAAATGGAATGAATTTTTTTATTTCTTTCTTTTCTTTCATTTCACATTGTTGTCCATGCTGGGGGGATTTTTTCTTGCTAGGTTTACTAGCCACCTCCAGGCCCTGTATTGCCTATGCTAGCAGCAATCATTAAAGCCTACTCATCTATACCTAAACTCAAAACGCATCGACAGTCTCCCACCCAAATATGCGGGATGCCCAACTCCTGAAAGTACTGACTCGAAAAAGCCTCCTCTTTTTCTCAACACCAATTCCCCCCTTCGCGCCAAAGAACAATAACAAAGCACCTATGAATCCAATCAATTAATCTCTCTCTAGATCTAATCAATCTATTTATACATCACACAAAGATCTCAATTCGAAGCTATCTGAAAATTTTGTAAAGGTAAAAAAAAGAAGAAAACAGTAACACCTAAAAAAAATCCGAATAAATAGGATGACACTCTACCACTTTCTTTATATTTTAAGCTTTGACCACCTAACAGAGTAGAGATTCCAGTCAAATTTACCACTCCAT